TTAGTTTTTAGAAAGTGTTTAATGATGCCTACTCCTCTCCTGTGTGTAAATCTTCTAGCAAGTCAACCACTTCAGGGAAGGGCTGGCCATTTCTAGGGTCAGTCTTCCCAGAAGCAGCATGTCCTTGAGACTTGGGAAGCAAGCCTTAGCCATAGAATGACAGGTTTTTCCTAGGCCCACATTAGTGTCTTGAGGATGAAGCCAGGCAGAGGGAAAGGTGGTGTCTACCTGCTCAGTGATACAGAGCAGGCAGGGGGCAGGGACTGTCCTTTCCTACTGTGGTTCCCATATGGGGTTGAGTGCAGTCATCTGAGACTGCCCCCTCCTCAAATATGGGTTTCTAGCCTCGATCTTGTAGTTTAGTAAGATTTGGGTAGTGTTTTGGATATATGTATGAGTTTTGTCCTGTGAGCCATCCTCTAGGTGCATGTTGAGGCCTTGATCAAATCCTGATTGATTTTGTTGGCTGGGTCTCAGGCCTGGATGAAAGTGATGGGTCAGGCCTCAGCTTGGGCCTCAGGTTTCATAGAGCTGTGATGGCCCACACAGGCAGACTGGCTGGGTGAAGGGCAGTGAGAGAGAGAGAGAGAGAAAGCCTTGGTAACCTATTTCTTCTTTGTTCAGTCCTGGGGATGAAGGTATTTGTTAAAAGAGCCAGCGTTGCTGTGAAAGTCAGGTATTGTGCTCACATTTAGGGATCAAAAACCAGAGTCCTTCCAGCTCATAGCTGTGTGGGAGAATGAGGAGACTGATCAGAATAATTGTTGGCTGCTTGTGTCCACCTTCTTTCTCATGGAGAGCAATAGGAGCCTCAGTCTGTAGGGTTGAGCTGCTCAGAGCCAGTTTAGTGTTGGGTTTGTCAGGGTGTGGGATTCTAGAAAGAGACAGTTGCCAGATGTGTTACTAAGGGCTCCTGTGCCCACATTGGCTTTTTTATGGCTGCCTAGCTGCCAGTAGGGTAGATATCACAGTGCCTGACAGTAGTAGTCCATGGGGACTACCTGGTCCAGGAGGGGAAGCAGGCACTTTGGTGGTGGGAGTAGGGTACAGCTTCATCCAGGAGCTGTTGCCTGTGTGGTCTTGCCATCTCAGTCTGAGTAGATCATACTTCTGGGAGAAGGCCTGCTCTGGTCAAGTGCTCAGGTGAAGTGCTCAGGTTCCTGAATCACCTGGCAGTCTTGTTCAGTCCTACATGGAGCAGTGGGCAGAGGGAAGTGGAATGAGTTGGTGGGGAGATGGGTGAGGGTGTCAGGGTTCTGGCTGTAAGTCCCCAGCATTCTCAGCTTCATTCTTACTGAGGAAAACCTTACCCCCCGTTCCCTTTCCTAGCCTCCCTGAAATGCAGGTCCAGAGAGAAACCTGAATTCCCTGAGGAAGTGACTGTACAGGGAAGAGGACCCTTCTGGTACAGGGACAACTGCAGGCTGGGTAGTGATGCTTCTGCCTTCACTTCAGAGGAGGGAAGAGAGAGCAGTCCATTCTGTGGCTTAGGAAGTTGAGGAATAAGATAGGAGCTGGGGTTTCTTTTGTCAGCAATATTTGCTCCTTATAAAAAATTCAAACAGGACAAAAGTGGCCAATGTCCCACACCCCAGAGATAACTACTGTTAGCACTGCATGTATGGAATGTGACCAGCTGAGGCCCAGCACCCCTGACATTCATTCCCAAAGGATGTGTTTGTGTGGCTGATGCCAGTTACTCAGATGGGGCTTGGTTGGATTGGTTGGAGGGTGGAATTCACTTCTCTTATGCTCTACTTCCCAGGGTCTTCCTGTGTAAATGAGGCCTACTCTGGGTTTGGGAAAGTGACTAGGGTGTGGTCTTAAAGACTTAAAGGATCAGGCCCAGGGTGGGCATTGTTTGAGAAGGTGGAGGGTGAAGGTGCAGATGGCCACCTTCCTCCATAGCATCCTCGTGCTCTTCCCTTCAGGTCTGTCTCTTCTCCTCTTGCTCTCCTCCCTTGTGTGTCTCAGTGGAGACTCATACCCTGGGAACATGGCTTTCTTCCCTCCCTGATGTGCCTGGCTTAGCCTTCCCTGGGCGGTGGTAGAGAAAGCCAGTAGCTCAGGCTCACTGCTCAGGCAATGGGAGTGTGGCTTCAAGGTGGGGACTGGCAGTAGCCCAGGAAGAGAACCTGAGGGTTTAGTCTTGATGGCCTTTTCCAAAGGGAGGCAATTGCAGATGCCCGGGACAGCTTTTTAAAAAAGTGCCCCCCCCAGCCCAAGAAAAACTTCAATATTGACTAACAAAGAAACCACACCACTGCCAAGTCTTTACAGTGATTTAAGTCTGGATATTTGGATATACTAGATACTTCATACAAATACCAACCCCTCCCCACCTCCCACCATCCACCAGGAGCCCATTTGGTGTTTTGGGGTAGGTGGATCTCACAGGGGAATGGCTGCTGTGCTGCTGCTGAGACTGAGCCCTTCAGAGACCCTAGCTGACCACATTTACCAGGCTTTCATGCTTCTGCCTTCGGGCTTGGTTGGCTGGGCCTTGAACTCTAGGCAGGCAGGTGGAAAGCTTTCTCCTCAGGCACTTGGAGGCATTACTTTTCATAGTGCCCTGTGCTGTGAATGAGGACTGGCAGCTGTTCTCATTCCTCCTGTGTGAGCCTGTTTCCCCTCTCTGGAGACCTTTAAAAAAAATTTTTTTTTCTTTTTTTCCACGGTTGAATCCAAGGTCTTGAGCTAACATCCTCAACCTTTTTTATTTTGAATCAGGGTGTTGCTAATTTCCTCAGGCTAGGTATGAACCTGATTTCGATCTTTCTGCCTCAGCCTCGCAGAGTTCTGGGAAATATAGGTGCATGCTGCCATGGCTTGCTCAGAATTTTTTTTTTTTTTTTTTGGTGGTACCGGGGATCAAACTCAGGTCCTTGTGATTGTGAGGCAGGCACAGCGTCACAGAGCTAAATCCCCGGCCAGGGTTTCCTTCTTAGGTCTGGTGTTGGGGAATCTCATAGTGGCATCTTGGGCATGGGTCTGTCTTTACTCATTGTGCTGCGTTCTTGGGGCCTTTTGTGCTGGTGCTCTTATCCTTCAGATCAGCAGAACTTTTTTAATAGTATTTCTTTTTGTGTTTTCATTCTTTTTTTCATTGATAAAACTTACTTTTAGAGAACTTTCAGGGTTATAAAAAATAAAAGCCTCATATATCCCCTAGCCCCTCCCCCAGTTTATCTATTATTACTATATTATTAGTGTAATGAGTTTGTTACAATTGATGGCCAATATCAATGCATTGGTATTAACTAGAGTCTGTAGCTTACATCATGGTTCACTTTATGTGTTATACATTTTATGGGTTCTGAAAAATGTAAAGACATGTATTTGCCATTAGAGTGTCACGCAGAATAGTTGCACTCCCTGCAAAATCTCCAATGCTTTGCCTGTTCATCCTTTCTTCTTCCCTTCAAACTCCTGGCAATCATTGATCTTTTTATTGTCTTTTAGATTTACTTTTTCTAGAATTTTTTTGGGGGGGAGGGTTTTTTTTTGTTTTGTTTTGTTTTTTGGAGACAGGGTCTCACTATGTAGTTGAGACTGACCTGGAACTCACTATGTAGCCCAGGCTGTTCTCAGACTCAGATTCTCTTGCCTCAGCCTCCTAAGTGCTGGGATTACAGGCGTGTGCCACCACACCCGGCTAGAATGTTCTATAGTAGAATCAAAGTATTTGGCCTTTTGGGACCACCCTTCAAATCCTTCCTTGTCTTTTCCTAGCCTGACAGCTCATTTCTTTTTATTGCTCTATAATATCCCATTCTCTGGATATATATCCATTTGCTTATCCATTTACCTATTGAAGGACATCTTGGCAGCTTCCAGGAGGGAAGAGAGAGCAGTCCATTCTGTGGCTCAGGAAGTTGAGGAATAAGTTGGGAGCTGGGGTTTCTTTTGTCAGCAATATTTGCTCCTTATAAAAAATTCAAATAGGACAAAAGTGGCCAGTGCCCCACACCCCAGAGATATAAGTAGAGTTGCTATAAACATTTGTGTGCAGGATTTCCTATAGACATAAGTTTTCACCTCCATAGGTAAAAGTCAAGGACCAGTTGTTCCTTGTATGGTGAGATTACTTTTAGCTGTCTGCTTAGCTGCTAACCCCTGCCCAGTTTCCCCTCTCCACCCTCTGCTCATCCTGTGAGAGTTCATGTGTGTTAGGGGACTTTTTTTGACTCCCTGGGGAGTGTGGAGTGGGAACAACACTGTGAATCTCCTCTCTCCTTCACTGTCTGATTGTCCTTGGGTGAGTTTTTCATCTGAGCATCACCCTTCTGACCTATAGAAGGTGGCAAGTCTTCTTCCCCAGGATTTCCTCCTTGCAAGGCTTGAATGGTAGTGAGGTAACGCATTCATCACTAGATGAGAGCCCCACCACAAACCCAAGTCTTTTGGCCATTCTTGTCTGCTTCTCCAGCTCACAGCAGTACTTTAGCAGGATGTGGGGTGAGTCAGTATGTGGGTGAGGGTGTGTATGTGTGTGTGTGTGTGTGTGTGTGTGTATACATGTACTAGTGTTCCTGGCTTTGGGCATCTGTGTGAGCTGTTCTTTTCTGATGGCTCAGAGTGGGGCTTTGGGATTGGCTAGAGAACATGATATTGCCAGGAGAAAATATGGGTAGGTCTTTCTGTACCAGTGGCCTGAATAGATGGTGGCTGCTCCCCAGCCCAGCCTCAGAGTTTCAGATGTTGGGAGGATGAAGCATCATGGGGTCTCCGAGCTCCAGGACAGGGTGCTGGTTGAGTGGGGCATAGGGTGGTAACCTCTGCCCTGATTGGCACCACCTGGGAAGGTTCCCCACTCTGGATGTGGTTTTTTCCATCATGGAAAAGTTTTGGACAGTTTCTCAGCTAGGCTTGTGGTTTAGAACCCCTGGCTGGCGTGTCAGAGCAGCAGCCTGTGGGAAGAGGCACTGCGAGGTGTCGGGCACTAGGGGGAGCCAAGGGCATGTGCCTGTCACCGGAACTCTGCCCACCCTTTCTTACAGGTGGTACAAGCTGCATTCCAAGGCAGGCAAAAAGGAGAAGGAACGTGGAGAGATCCAAGTCACCATCCAGTTCACTCGAAACAATTTGAGCGCCAGCATGTTTGACCTGTCCATAAAGGATAAGCCACGGTCCCCCTTCAGCAAGCTCAAGGACAAAATGAAGGGGAAGAAGAAGTATGACCTGGAATCTGCCTCTGCCATCCTCCCAAGCAGTGCCCTAGAGGATCCCGAGCTGGGCAGCCTGGGCAAGATGGGCAAAGCGAAAGGCTTCTTCCTTCGCAACAAACTGCGCAAGTCATCTCTGACTCAGTCCAACACCTCGCTGGGCTCAGACAGCACCTTGTCCTCGGCTAGCGGGAGCCTGGCCTACCAGGGCCCTGGCGCTGAGCTCCTCACCCGCTCACCGAGCCGCAGCAGCTGGCTGTCCAGTGAAGGGGGTGAGTGAGGCAGGGCTGCATGCCCTGGGGTGAGGGAGAGGAATGGTGAGGAAGGCCCAGGCTCCTCTTCACTTGTGCTAACTCTGCATGTCTCTTTTGCAGGCAGGGATTCTACACAGTCCCCCAAGTTGCTTACCCATAAGAGGACCTACAGTGATGAAGCCAGCCAGCTGCATGCGGCCCCTACTCGGGCCCTTCTTGACTTCCAAGGCCACCTCGATGCTGGCCCTCGCTCTTCCCTCTGTGTCAATGGGAGCCACATTTACAATGAAGAGCCCCAAGCCCCTGTACGGCACCGCAGTTCCATTTCTGGCCCATTTCCTCCCTCCAGCTCCCTTCACAGTGTCTCTTCCCGGCCCCCTGAGGAGGGGTCTCGGTCCTCAGATGACTCTTGGGGAAGAGGCAGCCAAGAAGCTGGCAGTTCGTCAGAAGTGGTGCCTGGACCGGAGGAGCTGAGCACTCAGGCCAAAGCACCAGCCAGGGAGCAGCGGGCCCAGCCCCTGGAGGGAAAGCCTGTCCAGGTTGCCACACCCATACCTGTCTCTTCTGAGACTATGGTAGAGAAGGAGGGAGCTCGGAAGGAGGAGCGTAAGCCCCGGATGGGTCTCTTCCACCATCATCATCAGGGCCTGAGTTGGAGCGAGTTGGGGCGCCGTGGCTCTGTGGGGGAGAAGGGTGGTCCCACACTAGGGGCCTCCCCCCAGCATTTGTCCAGTGGGGAGGAAAAGGCCAAGAGTAGCTGGTTTGGCCTGAGAGAATCCAAGGAATCAACTCAGAAACCCAGGTATGTCCTTGGCTAGACCGGTTCTGTTCCTTGGGAGGATGCTGGGGTGTTTGCTGCCTGGAGGCGGAGACTGGGAATAGGGAGCAGATATGGCCATTGGGCAGGCTGCTGGGGCTCTGGCTTTGCATGGTAAAGTGAGACTACCCTACCTTCCTAAGCCAAGGCTTGTTCTATGTACATGGACACAGGTGAGTTGCAAGGGTGCCCCGAGGGTCCTGTGGATGAGGTTGTCCTGGGGTTTTGTATGAGTTGGCAAATTCTGCCCCTGAGAAGAAAGGATAAAAGCAGGGCAAGGACAATTATGTGGATTCTTGGCTCCCTGACCTCTACCTCTTGCTATCTGCCCTCAACATAAGGAAGCTTTGGTGGGTAGTGAGGTAGGGCCTGGGGACTGTCCCTCACTGTAACTACACCCTTACCTTCAGCTTCCCTCCTGGTTTCCCCTGAGGGATAGGAGTCAAATAATTGATGCTCCCAGCCTTTTCTGACTCCATTTACTTCCTAGCCCAAGATGCCATAGCAACTCCCTGAAAAATGTAACTGCCGCCATCCTTGGGGACTACTTGGGCTCTGGCTGTCTATGTCTCCTGGCCTTGGGCACAGCATCACAGGGAGAGCTGATGATGGCTGACCTGTTTTGTATGTGCTGAGTTCCCCAGATGGGTCCTGGGCAGAGCCCTTGACCTCCACCCTGATCCCTTTGCTGCCTCCTCACCCTGAGCCAGAGGAGGAAGCTACTTTGTCTGGTAGAGTCCAGGAGGGTAGGTTACAGAAACCTGTGTCCCCTTTCCAGCCCCAGACAGCACCATCTGTGGCAGCCTCAGCTGGTGAGTGGTGTGAGGCTAGTTGTTTCCATTTCCTCACTGAGCCCTTTGCTACCTGATGGATATAGGGACAAGTAGGAGGGAAGCCAGCAGTAAAGGGTTAGGAGATAGAGCAGAGGAGGACCCTACCCCCTTTCCCTACTAGAGGGGAGAGGAACCCTGTGGTCTCATTTTTTTTTCCTTTCTCTGTGGAATACTGACTCTTCTGAGAGAAGGGAGAGAAGTTCAGGGCTTTTCCAGGTGGGGACCGCCTTAGGGCCAGGTGATGCCCTTCTTAGGGCCCACAGGCAGGGAATGTGGACATAGATAAGTTGTGGGGTGAACCTACCTTTTCCTTTCCTGCTTAGTATGGTAGCTCCTGTCTCTATTGTCCAGCTCCTACTGCTAGTGCCCCAGAGATGCCTGGCCATTTGCAGCCGAGGGGATGCTTAGGAAGGAAGGGATAGGCCTTTGCCAGGTATCCAGGCTGACCCCGATGGCCCTGTGACAGTCAGGTATATGGGGTGAAGGAAGGTGGCAGATGACCTGGACAGGCATTTTCTGGAAGGAGCTGGTGGACCTAGGTAGAATGGTGCAGACCATGGGCTCAGAGTCAGTGTCTGTAGGTGTCTCTGGGTCTTTCCATGGCAGGGCAGATACTGAGTTCATCTTTCTGTGAAGTTTCTAGGTGAGCACATAGGCTTCTGCTTAGTCTCCTGCAGGCTGTGACTGATTGATGGGATGGGTGGTCATTACTCCTATCAATAATCTCCAGTTTCCTTCTCTTCCTTTCCTTTGTCTCCTAACGGGCTTTCAGAGTTCAGAGGATTTGGCTTGCTGGTAGAGCTGAGCCTTCTGTCCTATTCACACTTGGATCCCGAGCCTTATCTTCTGCAGGCTGGAGGGGATCCTTGGGATCCCTGCACTCCCTGGGCCCATTTTTATGGGTAGCTGAGGGTAGCTCTCCATGTATCCAGGGAGGTGGGAGATCCCTGCTCTTTGGGTGAAGTGCTGGCTCAGAGAAATGAAACTGGGCAGTGAACTGTAGCAGCAGAACTTTGGCCCTTTATGCCTTATAGGGAGGGAAAGGCAGGCCTGGTAGAAAAAATTGCCCCTGACCTTGCTTAGGGCTTTTGAGGACAAATGAGATGTGGGAGAGCTCATGCATCATGCTCTCTCAGAACTGGAGTGAACTAATGTAGCTGCAGGATCTCCAGCTGGGATAAGGGGAGCCTGTCCATGTGCCTAAGGGTTTGGGGTGTCTGCCCTGGGGCTCCCATTGTGGAGTGCTGGTGTTCCTCGGTAGCAAGGGCAGCATCGCCCTCTAGTGCTCTCTTGTGGTATGATGCCCCACAGAGGGGCCGGGAGCAGAATGTGTTGCTATTGGAGAATGCAGTGGCTGGTAGAGCAGGGCTTAGAAGATGGGTCTTCTTGTACCTTTGAAAATAGCTTGTCTGCTAGTTTGGGCTGTTATACTAAGCCCCCATCTGTGTATGGGGGAGGGTGATTTGGACAACTTTGTGTGGGCCAGGGATTCATCCTTGCTAGCAGCCCTCCTGTGAGCCACATGCATGGAGGGGTGGTACTGGCTGCTTAGCATGCTTAAAGACAGGCAAGGCCCTGTGTGATAAACCTGCCAATGCAAGAGTGGATTGTTTTTGTGTCTGCCCATCCCCTCTTCCCACATTAACCATAGAATGGTGCACAGGGGGAGATCAAAATTGTGAATAAAAAAATTTTTAAATTGGGGATAAATCCAGTATGACAAAGAGGCAAGTGGATCATTGCTATATCCTTTAGCATCTCTTCATGTCCCCAGTTTCACTAGCCCTTACTCCAGTGTGCTAAACAGTGAGTCCCAGTGGGCCAGGATGTGCTATGGTGCGGAGAGTGCAGTGTCTCAGGCTGTATTCTGAGTTGTATAAATGAGTAACTGTAATGTGTGCTCAGTCACAGTCAGAGTTTATGTGGCTTTTTCCCATTTGTGCTTGTTTTTCTGGCATGATTACTATATTAACAATATTCTTGTATGGAAGATAAATGATATGGTTTCCCTATAGCTCACAAGGTCCCCCACTTACTGGTTTCTGGATATAGGAGAGATGGTTGCTGGGAGGCCATTGTCCAAGAAGGGATGGCCGAGGGCAATTTGGCCCTTTGAGGGACTGACTGGTGGACAACATGTGCAGGGCAACTTAGCATCTCTGGAACTAAATCATGGAACAAGGCCACAGAGATCATCTGAGACCAAGGAAGCAGCAGCTGTTACTGAAACCTGCCCAGCCACTCAGAGGTGGCCCTGAACATGAGGTTTAAGGGGGGAGGTTATCTGAATAAGTAATTCACATTAACTGGCATGTTTAACTAGTTGTCCTGAGATTCCTGTAGGCCCTGAAGTTTTATTATCCCATGTCAATAGATAGGGTCATTTGGACTTCTGATTTCAGTGTCCAGTATTTAGTCCTAAAAAGAAAAGTCAGCAAATGTTATGCCCTCACGGTTTGAAAGTGGGAGGCTGTGGGTTCCAGGACACAGAGGTGTTTACTATAATCTCTCTTCCTGGAGCACAGCCTACAGAGAGGACCACACAAGGGATTGTGCCTTGGACCTGTGCCAGTTGGACTGGTAGAAGGAGATGGTGTACAGTGAGAACCTTCTTGATGTGGTGATCATGTGAAGCGGGAGATAATGGGTGAAGGGGCCATGATACAGGAGACCAGGATGACAAGATGCGGTCATGCACTGCTGACTCTGGGGCACCTCCTGGGTCTGGTTCCTGGGCCCGTCCTCCAGGGAGAGCTCTTCGCTGATTCCATACCAACGGGTTTGTGTGTGTCTCTGGGGAGCCATGGAGGGGAGGGAGGCTGACACATGTAGACTGAGCTCCCAGTCTACTTCTGGGGCTCCTCTCCCTGCATCTGTGACTGCCAGCAGATTGCTGAGACCACAGGGTGAGTGGGGACCAGGATAGGCTGTGGGGATGTGGAGCTGAGCTTGCTGCTCTTTTTCATTGATGGGGCTCTCTTCCTTCAGTGTCCCGGGCTTCTCATCATGAAGGGGGCTGAGAGAGAGGTAATTCAGAGTATCCCAGACCTGATCCTGGTGGCCAGAGCCCTGCTGCAGGCTTGGGGCTGGGGCTGGTATGGAAGCTTTGCTTAGGTGTAGGCTGAGGGTAGGGTCTTGACATGCATGGTGTGGTGCTTACTTCTCACTCTTCTTGGTTCCCGGGCAGACCTTCATGCCTTGGCCCTTGGGCCTGCCTAAAATGATGAAGGGACATTTTCTGGGGTTGGGTGTCTGGGTCCATTGTTTTTCCTCTGTCCATACAAGCTGGGTAATGCTGTGAGCCCAGGGTGCAGGGTGGGAGTGCATGGAAATTTTACTTCCTCTTTCCATCATCACTATCAAGGTAGTAGGAATGAGACTGAAAATCTCCTGGTAGATAGGGAGTTATTTTAAGGAAAAAAATAGGGTCACAAGAATCTCTGGAAGCTGGATTTTTATGAGAAATCCATGGGTTTTTTGGACCTGGTGATGTCCTGCCTGTGAGGCTGACTTCCCCCATCCCTACACCTTTGCCTGGGGTTGAACTGGATGAATTCCTTCCTGTCACCTGCAAGTTCCTTGTTCAGGCCTTCCCTTTCTAGACCCTGAGTTCCTGGAAGAATCTGGCAAACTCCAGACAGCTTTGCCTCTTTTCCAGGAGAACTCCAACTCACTTTATTTATTTGTGGGCTGACTACTGAAGTCTGGCTTCCGAATCAGGGCTCAACATTGTATTTCCTGTGGAAGAAGCTGATTGAGTGAAGAAGAGAAATAGGGAGGAGTTTCCTTTGGGTATTTCCACCTGGGGAGGCAGAGGTCAAGGAATGGGGTATTAGGAGCTTGGAGAGGGGGGTTGGGAGACTGGCCGTGAGGGAAGAGGCTATTGGATAGCAGGCAGTGAGACTGAGGTCTGGGTTTGACAGGCTTAGTTAACCACAGGCCACTTGTTATACTGCTAAAAATTGGGATGTTTGGCCCACTTTTCTCCACTATTTCTCTAGCCCTGTGTCCTCAAGAGCAAAGGGTCTAGGTTCCGTATATCCCTGAGATCTGTGGAGTCCTGTGGACAGGGCTCAGATGCAGAGGTCCTCTTCTTGAGAGGACTGTAGGGAGTACCTGAAGTTGGTCTTTAGTGTAGACTCACTGCTGTGGAATGGATTTCCTCAGAGGACTTGCCCTGTTCTTGCCCCGAGGGGAGCTGGGATTTGGGGGAAGACCTCAAAGGTTGCTGATGACGTGCAAAGTTGCCGTGGCTGCCACGTTCTCAGACTTTGTCTCCCAAGGGTGGCCCATGAGGGAGGTGGGGGACACCACCTGCTGCGCTGTGTGGATGCCCAACCATAGGCACCCTCAACAGGTATCCTGTCCTCCTCAAACAAATGATTGATGCCTTGTCATGCCTGATGACAGCCCTTCCTTACCTCTTCATTCTGCAAAATATCAGTAGGACCCGGTCTGTTTCAGGAGCCTGAATTCCACGTGCCTTGATTAGTTTTCATAGTGTCAGCTTTGCTTAGCAAATCTAGGCTTGGTCTTGCTCTTGTCTCTTGCTCTTTTACAAGCCATCTGGTATTTGCTTTGCTTGCTTTCAGTCCTAAAAGGGATGTCAGGTGGTTTTGGATTGCTTATTAAGCATAAATCCAAAGTCAAGTAGACTCATTTGGTTTAGGTTTGAATCCTTCCTGTAAAATGGGATTACTACTGTGTGAGGTTGATGTGAGGATTAAATTAGCTCTGCTTAGGGTCTTCCCTCTGACTCCTGGTCCAAGTAGCTTATGTGGTGTTACAGCACCTCATCCTGAGGTGGGGATAGGAGGGGCAGAGGGGGACAGGTGGGACAGGGGTATAGTACTCAGCAGGGCAGTTAATGGTCTCAGCATTAACCAGGAGGCTCACGGTTTTGTCTCCCTCCACAGCCTGGACGTGTCTCCTCAGGTAGAATCTGACCCAGCTGCTGCTCCTCACCACCTCCCCTGCTCCCCTTGGGCCCAACCTACTCCTGTTCCCACTGCTGCTCCCATGCTAAGCACTAACCTTTTTGCAGCTGCCTCCCCTGCTGCTGCCACTGCTGCTGCTGCCACCACCACCACCACCACCACCATCCCCGAAGCCACCCTGTCTGGATTCTTGGGTGTCACCAACCCATTCCTCACCTCCTTGCAGAGCAACCCTTTCTTTGAGGAGCTCGTAGCCAACATAGCACTAAACTCTCCTTCACCTGCTCCCTTTCTCCCCAGTGCCTCGAAGGCCAGCCCCGCCCCCCTGGCCTCCCCTGGGAGAGCCTTGCCTGAGTGGGACGACACCTTCAACGTCTTTGCTGCTGATAGGCTACATCCAGAGGCCAGGAGCAAGATCCTGGCCCCAGCAGAAGTGGGGCTGGAGGCAGCTGGGCTGCAAGACTCAGGCCCAGGGGCCGTGGCAGTGAAGGCAACTGAGCCCCAAGGAGACCCTGGGGGAGGAAGCGGTGGGAGCAGCATGTGGTCAGAGCCCAGGACTCCTCTGGACTTAGGACTGGACCAGCAGAACACGAGTGCATCTGACCTGAGGCCCCTTGGGTCGGCAGGGACTGCCCTGCCCCCTGAGCTGCATTTGCAAGCACGAGACAGGGAGCCACTGGCCCCAGAGGGTGGAGCTGGGCAGAGTCCAGCAGATAGCGGGAAGTCTCTGTTCAGCTCCCCAGAATTGATCAGTGCTTGGGAGCAGCTGCCTGGTTTGGATGACACCCCTGAGGGCCAGGACACAGAGGCCCCCCAAAGAGAAAGCCAGCTTTTGCACGCGCTCAGTACAGCTGATGATTCCTGGCCTTGGGATGTGGTCACCATTTCTCCTGCAGCTGAGATGGCCTCACCAGTCCTGCGGGAAGACTCTGATGAGCTGCCTGCTCCTCAGGCACTACCAGAATCACCTCAAACTGTGAAACCTGAACGGAGCGAGGGCATTTCCCCAGTGGAGCTGGAGCTTAAACATGAGTTGGGGTCGGACGAGGGGCTGCAGTCCAGCACACCGCCTCCCAAGCCACCACGCCTCTTCATGCTCTCAAACTCTCAGGTGGAGGAAGAGGAAGATATAGTTGCAGAGAGGCTGAGTAACCAGGGATCGCAGACAGAAGATGCCACCACAAGTGCTCTATTTGTTGGTCCTCGGGAAGCCAAGGAAGAGAACGAGAAACCTGAGTCTGAGGAGTCGGACAGCCGATCTTCTGGGACCTTGCTGGGTGAGCCAGGCCTAGAGGAGCTGGTAGATGATGCCAGCCCCACTGAATCCAGGGCCTGCCTGACTGTGCCCACCAGCTTCCCTGAGGGGCCTGTGCCCATACTCTGTAACTCAGCAAGTTCAGCTCTTCCAAATCAGCAGAGCTGGGGGGCTCCAGAGAGAGGTCTGGAGGCCCAGAGCCAGGAGCCGTTAGAAGAGGCCCTTGCTCTATCAGACACCCTTCAGCAGGCTGATCTGTGGGCCTTGGAGGAGGATGCCTTGAGCCCCTTTTCTCAGGGGAGTCAAGATCCCCCTAGCCTTCCATCCACATCTCCGCCAGGGTCCAGGGAATCTTCCATCCACTCTGGTCCAGAAGAGCTACCCACGCCCCCAGAGCCTACCTTTCCACCACCCCCTCTCCCGCCCTGGGCCAGCCACCGCCATGGAGGCCCTGGCTCTCCATGCTCTCCCCTTTCTGGAGCCTGGCCCCTGACCTCTTCCTCCCCACCTCCAGGGGAGCCAGACTCACTCCCTGGCTCCTTTGAGCCCTCCCCTGCTGAAGGCTCCCCTGTCTCACTCGGGGAAGACCACGCTGCAGCCACCCCAGCCTCCCTGCTTGTGCTTCTGCCCTTGGAGACACGACCAGCTGAAGAGCCACAGCCCATTACCAGGTGAGCTTCCACCCTGAGAACCTTCTCCAGGAGAAAGGGGGAGGAGGGGCACAGCAGCATGATGGGCAGAGATATTCACATTCCAGCCTTATTCTTGCCAAGGGCAGGTGAGGGTCTCCACCCTGAGGAAATGGTGGAGGCTTTGAAGCCATGAGCGGTCTGTGGTGGTACCAGCTCTGAAGCTGCCTCTAGCATGAGACCTTAGCAGGGTGGCCTATAAGACAGGAGCTTGGGGACTAACACTGACAAGGAGCAGGGGCGAGGAACAAAGTGCGGGAGAGCTGATGTGCACTGGCAGAGGAGGAGTAGGCTGGCATTGGAGCCCAGAGCAGGTTGTTGTCCAGCAGGCTGGAGATCGGAGAGCTAGAGGACCAGGGCTTAGTCAGGAAGCATGCTGGAAGTACCTTCAAATGACAGAAAGAAAAGCAAAATGCTTTGCTTATATGTAACCCTCAGAAAAAAGGCTTTCCAACGACAGTGGGCGCTTTACTGGCCACCGTCATTGTTTTGTGTGTTTCCGGGGTGGTTGCCTATGTGACTGGTCACAGTGGCACTGAGCTGTGGGAAGAGTGATAAGGCCAAGACCAGATGGCTGGTGAGGGGAGATCAGAGTAGAGGTGTGGAGACTTGGGATTGATGTGTGGTGGGTGTGACTCACCTGGGGTGGCAGAATCCAGAGGGACATTCATGCTCGGGGCGGCCTGAGTGGAGAAGGGGGTGAGCAGTGTGCATGGTTTGTAAAGCAGATGGGGCTCCAGCACAGGCCTTCTGTGAGACCTCAGCCTGCTCAGATACTTCCTGGTTCAGTTAACCGGAGCTCATTAAGCATCTGCTCTGTGCTAGTCCAGTGGAGAAGGCTGAGGTCTTGGGAAGGAGGAGCCTTGGGGGCTAGGGCTGATACTTGAGAAATAGCAGGGGTGAGTTTGGGATCTCCACCCTTCTCCCCCAAGGGCAGGTGGGTGCTCTGTTCCCCCACAGTGAGGAAAATTTAGGGAGGGTCAGCTGCTTCCTTGCTCCCTGATGACAGCATCCTCAGCTGGTTCTGCTGGCTTCCAGAACAATTTCTAATTATACTCAACACTTTTTGGAAGTTGTTTTCAGAGTTGGCTTTATGTCTTTTTAGTGTATACCTTATATCATGAAGTGATTGAGCAAAATACAACTCTGTCTCAGATAGGAGCTGCAGGGTCCAGGGTCCTTCAGATAGAGGGGCAGTCAAACTGTGAACCTGGGCCTCCTGGCTGCTTATTGAGGGAGCTTTGGGACAGTGCTGGTTGGTCATGGTTGGTAATGCTGGTTTCCACACTGCATTAGGTGGCCTTACACTGTGCCTAGTGCATATTCATAGGTGGCATTAAGGACTGATACCCATGCGTCTTTTTCCTACTCCACACTATCCCTCAGCACTTGGCCACTTTTTGGACTCTGTGAGCCTAGATCCACAGCCCTTTCTTCAGTGAGGTGCTTCTCTGGGTTAGGGTGAGCAGAGGCCTCTGTCTTCCCCACTGAACTGGCACAGAGCAGATGCTCTGTGAACTCTGGTAACTGACCCAGCAAGTGCCAGAGCCCTGTGCTGGAGCCTGACCTGCTTCCCAAACCCTGCACTGTGCTTGTCAGCTGCCACTCTGCCTTCGGTGGAGTTCAGGGCCCAGGATTAAGCATTTTGCTTCCTACTCCTGAGTGGCTTAAACCTGCTGTAGAGTGAGTGTATATTTATGAGTGGTACCACAGGGCAAGTTAGCTGATTGGAGAGCCTGATGCCTACAGGTTATTTATTGTTATCATAGGTGTACTGTACTGGGGACCTCAGGAATCCCAGTGTGGAGGAATCAAGAAGGCTGCCTGCAATAGGAGGCTTGCACAGCTTTGAAACAGGTATAGAAACTAGGCCGATAGGAGAAAAGGGCCTACTCCAGGCAGAGAATAGCTTTTTAAGTGCCAGAAGTTAAGAAACAGTACTGCTTCCTATGGCTGGGGGAGTAGTAGGCCATAAGGAAAGGGCAGGCCCAGGATATGTTAGATTGGATTTTCTACCTCCATCAAAGCCACTAAAGACTTTTTAAGCATTGATTTTTTTTTTTTGAGACAGTCTCACTATATAGTTCAGGCCAACCTTGGACTCACTATGTAGCCCAGCCTTGCCTTAAACTCTTAGCAATCCTCCTGCCTCAGCCTCCCATGTGCTGGGATCACAGGCCTGCATCACCATCCCTGGCCTAAGGTCAGATCTTGATGCTGCAGCACAGTGGGTGTTCGTGACTGGTGGTAGGCAGGACTGTGATGGATGGTGGAGCTGAGTAGAGGATGTGGCTGAAGGCAGGTGTAGCTAGCACTGGCTTGGAGAAGAGGGAATGTTTTGAGAGAAGGTAGGAAGGTAGCAGGGCCTGATTGATTGTTATGGCAGAGGCTGAAGGAGTCAGGGACCCTGGGAATCTCTGTGCTAGAAGCACAGGAAAGGGCATGTATGAAGGGATCCCATATGGGGAGCAAGCAGCCAGCCTGCAGTGTCTGCACAGATCTAGAGCCTGGGGGAAGGCCTGGGCTGGTGGCTGGGTAAAGAGGAGGGAAGAGAAGCTGAGAGTGTTAGCATTTAGGACCAAGAGGACGCTGTCAGAGGCTAGAACACCAGGTGGAGGAGGAGAGCAGCCCAAAGGAGGGAAAGGGGTGAGTGTGGACTCCTCTGAGAGGTCATAGAGGAGACAACTGAGTCAGAATTTCAGCAAGTTCACATGTATTGGGCTGGTGGAGCCAGACTTCTGTTCTAAAGGAGGAGGATGAAGGTGAGGGTTAGTACAAATACAGGGTCAAAGAGAATTTAGTAGGCAGGCACAGGCCTGCCTAAGTATGCATGGGAAGCAACAAGTAGAGACAAGTAGCTGAACATTTGTCCCAGTTTGCCTAGGTCTTTCCTGATTTTAGCACTGTCTTGGGAATCCCTATAGTCCTAGGGAAACGGGTGGTGGTGCTGATTGGTTATCCCTCCAGAAATAAAGTTTAATTAGAAAAAGTATAGAAGAGGCAAGAGAGAAGATGGCTGGAGGGAGCCATCCCTGGCAGACTGGGTCCAGGTACAGAAGTGTGTAGGGTGGTCTGCTGTATCTGTCAAAGGGCTGGCCCCTCAGGTATCTGTCAAAGAGGGCGTGAAGTGGGAAAAAGTACATGGTGAGAGAAGGATTGAGGCATGCACGGTGCAGCTATCCAGCAATCCTAGAAGCACCATAGAAAAGGCAGCTCCACATTTATACCGTCTTCTCTCCCCATAATCCATCTCCTTCTGTCTTCGCAGTCCCCACCCTGTGAAGCCCCTCAGTGCAACCCCTGTGGAAGGCAGCCCTGACAGGAAGCAGCCCCGCTCCAGTCTGAGCACAGCCCTGAGCAGTGGGCTGGAGAAGCTCAAGACAGTCACCTCTGGCAGCATTCAGCCCGTGGCCCTGGCACCCCAGCTTGGCCAGACTGTGGACACCAAGAGTCTGAAGGTGAGGTCCAGTAGAGTGCTAGGGCATCTGACAGAAAGTCTAGGAGTTGTGGAGCAGGGAGCAGGCTGGGCTCCCCCATGTCAGGCCTGAGGCCAGTTAGACTGCCTGTGACATCAGAGACAGGTAGCTCCAGGCCCCGTGGTGGGGGAACTGGGGTGCTGGTGGGCAGGCCGGGCCTGGCCATCCTACTCACTGCCATTCCATCTGGCCCCAGGACTCTGCTATGCCAGACCAGTCGGCCAAGTACTACCACTTGACACATGATGAGCTCATCAGCCTGCTCCTGCAGCGTGAACGTGAGCTGAGCCAGCGGGATGAGCATGTACAGGAGCTAGAGAGCTACATTGACCGGCTGCTGGTGCGGATCATGGAGACCTCACCCACACTGCTGCAGATCCCTCCTGGTCCCCCCAAGTAGCCACCCCACCACCCACCCCCATCCCTGAAGGGTTGGTGAGGACTTGCTGCACAGACAAGGCCTGCCTGCCTACCTGTCCTCCTTTCCACTGAGCACACTCCCCTGGGCAGGGTACAGCCTGTCCTTGTGGTCACTCCCTGCCCCCCTGCTTTTGCCTCTCTGAAGTGGTCCCCGGGTCTCTCACTGGAGGCATCAAGTTCCATGTACAACTTGTGTGTCTGTGGGGACCCTAGGTCTTTCCCACCTGCCTCTTTTCCTGTCCCTTAGCTTTGGGGGCTCTGGGGAATTGGAACACAGAAGTTAGTCCTCAAGACAAGCAGGAGTTGGCTACAGTTTGGTGTGTCTGAGAGAAGCTATTGCACAGATTTATTACTCTCCAAGGTTGGTCTGCCATTCCTTCCCATGGCAATCCCTCATCCTCTTCAGATTCCTGGAGGGAATCTGGTATTACTTGGACTGGGACAGGGACCAATCTGACCATTTGTCCAAGTTATTGGCAACCCCGGTGCCTACTCTTCAGCCTTGTGTTCTTCCCCTGAGAGCAGGGGCCTATGTGGTCCAGTCTAGTTTTCACCATGTCCGGAGTCTGTTTCTGCCTTGAGCTATTGCAGAGTGAGTGCAACGTAGAAGGAGGTGGTGATGTGTGTTGTCCAGGCTGCTCCCTGACCCTCTTCAGACCTTCCCACTGGGTGTCACTGGTGAGTGTGAAGGTAGGGCTGGGTCAGGAGAGAGCTCCTCCTTGCTCTTCTGGTTCCTACTCATCTCTAATGTATGGGCCCCACCAGGTCAGGGCTTTAGGCTGCTTATGTTTTTGGGATCAAGCCTCCATGTCTGTTCTTGTTTCCTGTCCAGATGCCAAAACTCTGTGCTCCTGCAGCGTTTGAACTTTGGGAAATCAATTAAAATGTGCCTTTTGTGGGTGAGGTCAAGAGCCTCTGGATGTAGATCTCTCCCCGGCGTGGCATCCCCCTCCCTCCTGTTGAGCACACAGGTATCCCTGTCAGGGTCCTAGGAAGGGAGTGGAGGTCGAACAGCCATGCTGTGTGTTCTTCCCCTCCTGAGAGTATCTCAGCTAAGGGCCAAGCTGCTGCTACTAATCTTCCTGCTGTCTTCCCCTCTTCTTCAACCCCATTTGGATGATTCTAGGATAAAAAGCTCTGGTGAGCTATAGGTCTGGGGCCACCCTGCTCACTAGCCTGGCCTCAGGACTCAGCCATGCTGGAGCAGTTGGCTGTTCTGGAAGTGGGAGGCCTCGCTATGCCTTAGGAGACTCCTGTACTCCTTTGCTACTCTCCCACCCATCCACTAACCTGCTGTATCAGCCCATCCCATCTGCCTTTCCTGGTTTGGCTACAGTGCACTTTGAAATGAAGCATCTGTCCTTTGGCCTAGCCCCTGGTTTGCTTGTGGAAAATATGGCAGGTTTCCCCACAACATCTGCAGGGATCTTTTGATAGCTTGGGCACCCTGTATTAGCAAAAGATGGGGAGTGAGAGCATGCCAAAGGATACTTTTAGCCCAGTGAAGGGGAAGAGCTCCTCTGGCTTTTTCTCCCATGGGCTTGCTCAGAAGGCCTTAGAGTGCATTCTGTTGGTTTTGGCAGTCCTCTGCCATGCCAGGATGGAGTGGAGGGGCCCTGTACGTGGGGGAAAGCCTCTGCAGATTTGCCTACCTTAAAGTCACTCACCAGAGCTGGGAAATGTATCCATAGGTGCCCAGATCTTCAGTCACATTTTTGAAGGGTTGTTGAAGATGGGAGAGATGACTTTTTTGAGGGGGTGGGGGCTATTCCCCTACTAGATGCTCTGGGTTCTTTGGTTCCAGCCCCAGCCCTGGATAGGCATATCTTCAGAAGAGGTTTGGAATTAAATGCAGCCAAGGGTTGTTTGATATTTCTGCTTCTAACCACAAGCTACAGGGGTGGGGGGTAGGGGGGCAGGTAGCAGGCACTGTTCTGCTTTGCTGTTTGTCTCCCAAGGTGTACCTCCTGTTTATAAAGAGCTTGTTCTTCATGTTTTGAGCACTTTATGAAGAATAAAAAGTTCACATACTCCAGGTGATCATTGCTTTCCTGTTTTGAAATAAGTGGTTGAAAGAGGCTGCCTGTGGGGTTCCTAGAGGACACTTTCCAGTCCCATTGTCACGGGCAGAGGCACAGTGATGTGCAGTGGTCTGGACTCTCCCAGAGTTTTTCCACTCCCAGGTTGCCTAGGTTTGTTGGTAATTGGCATTTTTATTGGGTGCTATGGGGGAATACAGAGGGCAAAGACTTGAGTCTTTAAAAAAAAACTTGATTCTTATTCTCAAGCTAATAGTCTAGTAGAGAGAAAAGATACAAATCCAACATACAAACCATTCTTCATGGCTAGCTAGAATTTCTCCAGCTTTAGGAAAATTCTGTTTCTGAGGCCTTAACCATTAGTGGATGAGGAACTTGGACTGCTACTCATGCAGTGTCCAGAAAGAGATGGGCAGATGCAGGCCAACCCTGCACCTCACCATTAGTCAAAGGAGACCTAAAGGGGTTCCCTAGAGTTGAGACCAAATAATTCTATCTTCATGAATGAAACCTGCAGCACAAGTGCCCCCCCCCCCGTCTGGCTCATTGCTCTCTGGGGATTTTTCAGTAGCTCAGTTCTGCAAGAGCAAGTGTTTATTATCTGCTGGGCTCGGTTGTACCTGTAGTACTCCCACATTTGAAGTACATGTAGCTGGTACGCAACACAAACACTATTAAACCCTATTCCCCACCCTCCAGGAATTAGGCCTGAGGAGGCCTTGATGGCCAAAGGAATGAAGGCTGTGAGGGCTCTTAATTCCTGATTGTTTAACTCCAACACATTCAGCTGCCTGTAGTAGGAGCCCTTCTATGCCTGACCCTGAAAACCCACCTGAATCAAAAAGTCACAGCCCCAGCCTGTAAGGTCTACAGTAGTGAAGTATTTAAACCTGTAAAGTTAAAAATACAAGTGCTGCAAATCTTGTAGTGGATTTTGTGGAAGTGAAAATGTTAGGAAAAGCAGTATTTAGGCTGAGGCCAGAAAGAGCCAGCATTAGGAGAAAAGTTCTGAGTAGTGGGTTGGGCAGCACAAGTCCTGGGCGTGAGGGCAGGCTGGCGGCTGTGAAGAAACTGCAGGAAAATTTCACAGAGCAACTCCTTGCGAAAGCCTTCCGAATTAATCCTACTCTGCCTGGGGTCCTTGTCCATCTGACCCGGGTCGTTGACTGCCGCTCCAGGTACCCTTTGACAGCACCCTAAACTTTTGTGGGCGGGAGAGTAGCGAGCGGTCACCTCATGGCCCCTGCTGGGACTTTAGGACTGGGCATAACCACTATTCCTGGCATGCAGACGGTGCAACACGGGTGACGGGAACAGAGATCGAGTCTGCATGAGTGCAACTTCCTGCAGTCTAGGATTGTCGGGTGCCAAGAAGAGAAAAACCACACTTCCCACAAACCTTCGCGTGCCCTGCTCGCTGCGGTTGCTCCCGGCCAATCAGGAGAAGCAGCGGTGGCGGGGGCCGAGGAGGGACATTTTAAAAGGGACGGAGATTGCGGGCGTCAGTGGCCATGGCGGATACAGCGACAACAGCATCGGCGGCGGCTAGTGCAGCTAACGCTGCGACCGATGCGCCTCCTTTTCAGCTGGGCAAACCTCGCTTCCAGCAGGTGAGGATTGAGCTGGGGCCTACGGGCTCACGGGTGGCACAGGGAGGTCAAGCAAACTCCCCTTCACAGACCCCTTCAGCCGTAGGACTCCCTACCCGCGGCCACCGGAGCCTGCCGCTAGTGCAGCGGGGATAGCGGCCACAACCACCTTTTCCATTGGTCAGTGGGGCGGGTGAGTAGTCCCACCTTGGCACCCTATTGGTGGATGACGCTGTCACTTCCTGACTGACGGCGCCCTCTAGACGTTCCGCCCGAGGCGCTCTGTGATTGGCTGCTGCTGGCAGCAGCCAGAGTTCTGCCGCCTGGGTCTAATCCGGTTTTGAAGGGTCTTCCCGGCTCGTGCAGCGGATCCCTCTGGACCCAAAGTTCGAGTACAGCCCTTTATGAGAAGTTGGCTTGCCCAGGATGCCTTCTAACCCTACCCCCCGCGCCCAGTAGGACTGAAATTCCTCCCGAGCTGCTGGTTGAGCGCACTGGGCAGCATCTGCACCCTAAGGTCTCGCTCCCATTCCTCAACCCCAAGCGGGGTCCATGATGCGCCCCAGGATGGGACCGTGTGCTGCCGGGTGCGGCGCCGGGCGTCTCCTTTCTCGGGCTGAGAATTCGCTGACGCAGCGGAGCGGGCCGGCAGGTACCCTGCCGGAATGGAGATAAGACGTGTGAGGGGAGAGGCGGTTGGGGGGTGTAGAGGAAGCGCTGAGTCATTCCCTGGGGTCGCCGCCCTTGAGACCGCCCTGGCCTCTTGCAGCGTTCTCCGTGGAGGGTCTCCAACACCCGGGCCTGACGCGGCGGAGCACTCGAGCACTGTGCTCTTCGGGCCACTGGGACTGCGGTCCTTTCCCTCCCTGACCCCACCCACTAATTTGGCCCTGGGCGGGAGCCAGGTATCAAAACCGCAGTCCTGACCCGGCGGCCCAGCCTGGGAGCCACAGGGAGACAGAGCCTGAGAAGGGCAGTTCCCAAGCCATAGACTCGGGACCCCGCTGCTCCAGCGCAGAGGAAACCCACTTAATTAGGAAAAGGGTAAAGAAATGGCTAAAGTGAACTGAGGCTTGCCGGGGGTAGGTGACAGCGGAGGCAGCAGAAAGAACTTTGTGGGACGAAAGGAAATGGTACAAAGGTCGGTGCGGTGGCTTTTTTCCCCTCTGGTGGTGGGAAGAGGACTAGATACAACCTGAGGTTCTCTGACAATTATGGAGGCTGCAAAGTCTTCTGAGAAAAAGTCTCCAGGGCTTTTAAAGGAGACTTGATTCCTTTTAAAAACAGATCATCTCTGCATACAAGTTGTGAGGGAGACTGACATCTTTCTGCTGCGGTGAGACTTCCGGAGTGCTCCTGCCTGGTCTTGAGTGACCCTTCATTGCCTGTCCCTGCCCGTCCCCCCGCCCCCATTCATCCTGCAGTCAGGCTGGTATCCTCTGGGAAACATTTGTTCCCTTCTATGGTGCTTTTAGTTCCTGGTCTGATCTGAGCACACTGCTGATTCTCTCTTGATGCCTCTGGCCACCCTTAGTGGTAGCCTAGCGTTTCCTTTCAGTCATCCCTGTGCTCCTTTAACTTGATGGTTCCTTGATCTCCTCAAACCCCATTGTAGGCCTTTTGAGAGAAGGCGGCTGATCTTGCCCTTCCTTGTCTCTCTCTTACCTTGAGATGAAGTTAGATTTGCAATAACATGTGAAGTAAAGACTTCTGGTTTTTGCTTTTTTCCTCCCATTGGTGCCTGTTACCTGTGTGTGGCACTGGGGACAGACTAAATCACCCAATAGACATTTATTGAACCTCTTAGTAGCTTTAAGGCCAGGGTCTTTGATGTGATCACTGCTGGAGCCATAAATGTGCTTTTGAGGCTAGTGGGTTCCTGCAGCCATCACTGGTACCTTGATTTGGAAATAAAGCATGCATGTCTTACTGAAGTTCCCCTGGCCAACCTATTAGCCTGCATGAGGCTAGTGCATGAGCCTGTGCGATTTATCCATGTTAAGGAACTTCTCTCATCTTCAAACCTGCTCCTCTCAATTGCTCCCTGCCTCTACAAGCAGCTCAGCACCTATATACTGTTCATAAACCTGGGATTAGCTCATGTACTTCCCTTTCTGTCTCCCCCCTTTAAATACAACCAGAGATCATGATTTCACCTCTCAAACAGTTCTCAGATACACCCATTTGCAGGGCTGGACTCTTAAACCAGCCCCAGGCCCCTCCCCCACCACTTCCTGGGTCACTGGAAGATTGGACAGGTCTGTCTGCTTCCACTCAGGCCCTCTTCCAATCCCTCCCTCTTCTATATGGCATTGTCCCAACAGTGCAGGTCTCATCAGGTGACTCCCCACCTTCTACACACAAACACACACACTCTTAAAATACCCAGCACTGGCTTCCTTTGCCTCTGAGATAAAGACTTCTTCCCTGAAGGGGCCCACAGGTTGTATGGCCCACCCTGTTGACTTCCCCCTGAATTCACCACCCATCCACCTCAAAACCACCTTCCCCCAATACTAGCTGCTTTTTGGTCTTTGGACGTGCTATGTCCTTGGGCTATCTGCTGGATCATCACTTTTCCTCACCCTCAACTGTTATCCCACTCTTCTTCATTTCTAATGTGTCATAAGTTGATTTTCTGACTGCTCCCCTATTGCAAAGCACCTCAGTGTGTGCCATAGGCTCCATGAAATCAGGGGCTGGACCTGCCTTGACTCCTTGCTGACTCAGCCTAGAGGCTGATACTTCACAGGGGGCTTGATAAAGCTTTCTGAAGAAATTAATGTGCTTCAAACACTTCAGTGGGTTCTGTGGACATACAAGTTGTGATAGGCCAAGTTTTATTCAGATTTAAACTGACATACAAGTTGTGATAGGCCAAGTTTTATTCAGGTTTTTCCTGAGAAATCTGTAAAATTGTAACCAAGTGAGAACATGTTTGACAGTGCAAGATTCTTTAGCCCTAAGTCCCCAGAGTGGGGGTCTCTAAAGAGGTGAATCTAAAGATAACAGTCTGCTGTGTATGTCTCCTCAGCCATCATGATCTAGGTCCTGCTTTCGATGTTATACAGTAGGTGTCCAGTGAATGTTTACAGTGCCCGGTGTGGCCTGACAGAAGCCTGCTTAGTGTGGCTCATAACGTGTTGCCCATACTCAGAGCCCACATTGGGAAAGCACTCTGATTCTGTCTCTCTCACATCTATAGGACATGTATTTTCCAAGCAGTGGTTATGAACTGATGTAGGACTTATAATCAAAAGCTTTCCTTACTCCCTGGAGTCACTCTAGAACCCATCTTCTTTTACCTCCTCAAGAGCCTCCCGGTACAGGAGAATAGGAAGAAGCATACTGAGTAGGATCAGAGGGTAGGAGATGGTGATGCTTTGGTCTATGACCATTTTTCTCTTAGTGGGATGATGATAAGCTAGACAGAGTGGTGCCAGCCTGTAATCCCATCTATGTGAGAGGCTGAGGCAGGAGGGTTGAAAGTTTGAAGGCAGCCTGGGCAATTTATTGAGATCCTGTCTGAAAAAAAAATTATGATGATGTTCAATTTATAGGTAAGGAAAGTAGCACACAGATTAAGTAGCTTCCTGGGTGGTCTAGCTCCAGCATCTCTATTTGTTTATTAGTTTATTGTCAACTTTTGTTTTGTTTTGTTTTGTTTTGTTTTTTGAGACAGGGTCTCACTATGTAGTTGAGACTGACCTGGAACTCACTATGTAGCCAGGCTGGTCTCACACTCACAGCGATCCTCCTGACTCAGCCTCCCTGAGTGCTGGGATTACAGGCATGCACCACCATGCCTGGCTATTGTCAACTTTTTTTCTGGAGGTTTCCCAACATATAAAAATAGGGCTGGGGATTTAGCTCAGTGGTTCCAGTGCCTGCTCCACAAGCACAAGGACCTGAGTTCGATCCCTGGTACCCCCCGCAAAAAATCTTACCAACATATCAAAATAAAGATAATCATCATCAAACCCCCATGTACCCATTTCTTGGCTTCAGCAATCACTAACTTAGAGCTAGCCTTGTTTCATTCATATAGTATTTTAAATGATTCATTCCCAACCAATACATTATTTTGAATAAACAAAATTATTTTGAAGCAGAAGCAAAATCCCATTATTACCTACTAGTAATATCTCTAAAGATCTTTTTGCTTAGTTTTTAAAGTGAACTTTGCTTGGACTGCTTTTAGATTTATGGAAATTAAAAAAGATAACAAAGAATTCTTACATAACCCTCATACAGGGTCCCCTAGCACTGTCTCATATTACTGTGGCTACTTTGTCAAAACTAAGGAACATTGGTACATTCCTACTAACGACATTCCAAAGTTTTATGGTAATGTCTCCCGTGTGTTCCGGGGGCCCTTCCGGAACCACATACTGTATTTAGTCCTTCTCTCTTGGTCTCTTCTGGTATGTGGCAGTTTCTCAGACTTTACTTGTTTTTAATGAGCAAGATAGTATTGGGAAGTACCGGTAGGGTATTTTGTAGAATATCCCTTAATTTGGATTTGCTGAATATCTTTCTCATAGATAGACTGGGTTTATGGGTCTTGAAGGAAGAATATCATAGAGGTGACATGTCCTTGACATCACATCATATCAGAAGGTTTTAGAAATTAATTTTAACATAACTGCAATACCCTTTACACACCTAAAATGATTATTTTTTATTTATTTGTGGCACTGCAGGTTGAGCCCAAGACCTTCACACTGAGCTACATCCCCAGTCCTTTTTATTTTTGTTTTGAGACAGACTCTCACTAAGTCACTAAATTGCTTAGGCTGGGCTCACATTTAGGATTCTTCTGCCTCATAGTACTGGGATTACGATCATGTGCCGCCATGCCTGCCTGGCTTGATTATTTCTTGATATTGTCTAATAAACAATCAATATAGATTTCCCTGATTGTCACCTACATTTTTTTGAGACAAAGTCTGATTGTGTAATTCAGGCTTGCCTTAAACTCTGCATAACCCAGGCTGGCTATGAACTGGTTATATTTGTTT